ACTTGTTAGCGATAAATTTCAACAATAAAAGACAGCACATAGTCCACTTGTTTTAAAATAATATATTAAAACAAGTCAAACATATATACAAATGTTTGTTACACTGTTGTATACAGAGCTTTAAATAATCGTTTCTCTTTCGTCAAAGTCCACAAAGGCTAATTCAGTTACTTTAGAACACAATTTGACAAAATTAATTACTATTATCTAATCTGTTATTACAATACAATATATGATAATTTCACTCTAAAATAACCACTATAACTATTGGTTATCACAGTTGTATCCAGAGTTTTAAATAATTGTCTCTTTTACGTCAAAGTTCACACGGGTTGGTTCAGATATTCTAGAACACAATGGACATGACAAATTATTATTTTATACTCTGTTCTTACAATACAATCTGTAATAATTTCACTTTAAAAATCGCCACTATACACTTGTTATGGTTAAACTCACAATCGATCAGCCTAGATCTATCTACCTCATATACACACAAATTTAGGTAATGTGTTGAGGTTCCATCATTCGTGTAAACATCACATTGAGATGTTAGGATAATGAGATTTCGTTGTCTTGCTGTTCTAATTAAGTATATATCGGTTAATATAGACAATGTTTAATATCCACAGATAATTGCATTGCATATAATGCAGGCTATTATGTTCTGCTGTTTTTATATTAATATAGACAACTGTTTAATATCTTCAGATAATTACATTGCATATAATGCAGGCTATTATGTTCTGCTGTTTTTATATTAATATAGACAACTGTTTAATATCTTCAGATAACTATATTGCAGTTTGTTTCATTCCACCTAAGTAGCACATTTGATTTATTTAACAAATTTAACTTCCATCGATAACATCATCGTTTTTTTGTTTGATGTACATGATCTCCATGAGGGAATTGAGATTATGTTCTTTTTGGATTAACATTAGACTAATATGGATCTTTATGGGGTTTCTCTGTCTGATGTGTGTAGATTCCTGGAATATGTTTCAAGTAATAATGTTTTCAGATTCAGCAACCAAATTTTCGTCAGACGCATGGTTTGTTTGTTTTAAATTTCGCGCAAAGCTACACGAGGGCTATCTGCGTTAGCCGTCCCTAATTTAGCAGTATAAGACTAGAGGGAAGGCAGCTAGTCATCATCACCCACTCTTCGGGCTACTCTTTTACCAACGAATAGTGGGATTGACAGTTACATTATAACGCCCTCACAGCTGAAAGGGGGAGCATGTTTGGTGGGACGGGTATTCGAACCCGCGACCCTCAGATTGGGAGTCGAGCATCCTAATGACCTGGCCATGCCGGGCCCAGACGCAAGGATTAGCTAGAGATAATCTCGTAGCTGTAACCGTTATTGCAGTTTTCATGCATGCCATTGAAATTAAGGCAACCCACGACTGGGGATTTGGTGATGAACAACCTACTACCCTCTGGTTGAGTTTTATTGATAACCGTGGGCTATGATTTTTAGCCAAATAACAATGCCAGTGATTTAGTAGTTTCAAGGGTAGATTTTGAAATCCAATGGTTATCCTGAAAGATTAGCTAAAAAAATGTTGTTGTTTTTTACCATTCATGACAAACAAGAAGAAAATATTGCATTACAAATACTTTTTATTAGTCCTGGCCTTGATAATATCATTAAGAATACTGTAAGGAAACTGGTTTTCCTACGTGCATAATATAACAAAGAACGTTTGCTTAAATCGCATACAACACACTTGGTATTTACAGAAAACAAAAATCAATCATTGCCAGTAAAACAACTGTATCGCATGGAATGTTGAAAAAAGATGCAGTTTGGAGAATCTCTTGTGTTATTTGTAAGGAAATCTACCGATGAAGCTGAGAGATATATAAAAAAGCACTGCATAGAACACTCTCGTGTTTGCAGCACATTTTATTAATGTGCATGGATTGTCTAACTCAGACCATTTTTTTAGTATTAAAATATAAAGAAAATGCAATTATTTCTTGTGAAGAAAGTATAAATAATCCTTTAGTATTAAATATAAGAAGTCTTCAACTAGCGGGGATATAGGGTTGCTACTTTAAATGGTAGATTTCTGGACCTTTTACTTTGTTTTTTGTCTAAAGAGTGTGTACATGTAGTTATTATTATATTTACAATTTACCTCTAGATATTTATTAAATGTGAATCTTTGCATTAGTCACCCTTTTGTTTTCGCTTTTAAATTAATATTTTCTTCATTGTGTTTATATTATCGAACCTTTATTGTTGATAATGTGGTCACATGTCAGACAATACATAAGGCCTGATTGTTATCATTTAGAGTTACATCAGCTGTTTTGTTCTGTTTAAGACTGGACTTGTGTTCAGTAGAGTGTCCATCTTTTGATAAAGCCCTAAGGTGAAACATTGGGGAAATAAAGAATTTTCACTGGTTACTGGCTGTTTCTCTTCGTTAAATATGTTTGCACTTCCTTGTGCACTACTCTATCAAAATTTATTGAACTGTGTTGTTTGCATTCCTTTTACAGATTCCACTAAGCTTTAATAACTTCACTGCTCATACAGCTTATTGGTTTATCTGTTTCCATGATCTGTTAAGTATCTACTCTTAAAACAAAGACTTTGAATTTCAAGCTTACATTCTAAGGTAGAAGAAGTAATAAGTATGAGCGTTTACCATGTAAAATGTATTGTCTATCATCACGTAAAACAAACCTCATACCAATACTACAGTTTTAAATACCATTCAGTGGAATCGTATATGTCTTTAGAGAAAAATGTTTGTTCAAGTGTTCATACTTCTGGTGACAAAATGTGAGAAATAAAGTAGAGTATTTCTAACGTTACATAATTGAATATTTTGTAAGAGTTGTTTTACGTTACTTCCAACATCGAGAATGTAGTTAATTACCGAGAAACAAGGCTTTCTATTATTCTGACTTTTATTTGTCAAATATCTTCTGGCACAATTAAACACAGAACGCAGCACACTGGAAAGAACCAACAGTTAAAATATTGATCAAGAATTTCATTCTCGAAGGTCACATTTTATTATATCATTAATAAGCAAATAACCAGAAACATGTAGATTGTGCTTCTAATGAGATTATAAGTTCACGAGTATTAAGGACGGGTTGTTAGATCACAGATCCACTCTTAGAATTGAGTTCTTTAAGTACAAACCTCCTTTTCCCCTTTACATTCAACACGACCAATGAAATTGTAAACATTCGCTGTACATTTAAAAACGTTAGTAACTCAGAATGTATTTTTGAGTAAAAAACCGTCTTCCTCTCATACATTAAACTTGAAAAATGAAACTACAAACAGTTTTCAAGTACATTAGAAAATTCAGACGAACTTGCAAGAGAACACAGAAAACCATATCCATAGTTAAATATCTTTTTTTTGACTTCTGAAGAGTGACATGTTTTACACTTTATTTAGTGTTTTAAATCTGTTCAAGTTAATATTTTTAGTGGAAACTATTTTTGGTTTAATGCGGTAAATTTCTGCCTTAGCATCATGGTTACCTTAGGATCCACAATCTTTATTTTAATAGCTATAATACATGTAAACAAGAAACAAAAAGTAATTCTAGTCACAAAACAGATTAATACAGAGGGTTGAATACGTTATATTAAAACGATTTTGAATACTCAAATCAACAAACGACGTTACAACCACAACTAATATAAAAATCGCGGTGGAAAAGAACTACATTTTTTACTTTCTTTGAGCTTTTTATTGAAATTAAATTAGTTTACGTTAGATTGTATCCCCCTGAATCCCCAGAAGTTCGTGAAAATCCGAGTACAATATTCTGATGTTCACATAAACATTATTGAGAAATGTTCTGACGATCCGCACAAGAACATTCAAGTGAACTTTTCAGAAGACTTGAATACATGAATATTTCAATGAAATCTTTAGATGATTCACGTATGAATGTCTAGAATGTTTAGAAGTAATTGATGTAGGTTTTAGCAAAATCTCCGTATGGGTTAGACGTTGATTCAACTTTCATAAACCATTGCAAAGTCAAAACCAAACTGACAAGAAATACTTCATAAATATTTTTCTTTTACACATAATATAATTTAAGATGCTTAGGTCCTGGGGCAATGATTCATAACATTTGCAAAAACAAGCTTGTTTTCCGACATCTTGTTACAGTAGAAGCTTTAAACATGATATAATTACTTATAAATTCACTTTTCAAAAAAGAAGAGAAAAAAAAAGTTATATCTAGAAATCTTTACGTTTTGTCCCTCTACACTTAGAACAATTTATATGGCAATTCCCCAATATTTAGATTCACTGTAATATGAATATTACCACACGAACGCAACAACAGCATGAAATAAATATTTAAAATTTATAGAATAGGTCTAAACGGAAGTGGCCAATGGTTGACCAAACGTCCCTTTTCGCGACCACTGAAGCACAAGAAAGATATGTACTTCGATTTGTATATTTAAAAAATTATGTCTTAAAATGATTTTCACATTATTACTTACGCTGCAGTGAGAAACAAATACATGTGATTTATAAGTTTGGATAGACGTTTCTTGTCAACAAGTAAAAAACAGTATTCACGTAACATAACTAACTTAGCGACAGAACATTATATGCCATATTTCCATTTTCGGCATGGTAACCAGATTATTAACACATATGGAATTATACGGCGTATTGCATCTTACGTCACCAGACATGTTCTAACATCAAGTAACAATAGTTTATGTTAAAATGTTTCTTTACTGCAAAAATTAATACTTATTAATTTTTATAGTCATTTTTATTTTAATGCAAACTAGTGATTGTATTTTTTCTGAAGGACGAGGTTTCTTTCGGTAGTATAGAAACATTTTCTATCAAACCTCTAGACAGCAGTATTGAGACTCACGACCGATGGAGACAAAGTTTCTGTACTTGCAAGCGGTGGAAGGTTCTTCTTGCGTGGGTTTATTGGACTTCTGAAGAAATTAGAGAAAAACTATTTACTTAGCAATAGAACAATAATGTCTAGAGTTAGTGTCAATATATATATATATAAGAAATTTTTATTCGAAGTAAATATTATAAGAGAGAATAGAAAACGTTAAAATGTAATCAAAGAAATATAATCAATAGTGATCAGTATACCTCTCTATATCCCCTGGTGGGTCAGGGGTGAGTTTACGGACTTATGACACTAAAATCCGAGTTCGATTCCCCGCGGTGGACAGATCCCATTGTGTAGTTTTGCGCTACTGGGATGTTATAGTAGTGTAGTTGCAATCTGTAGGTTGTTTCTGAACTACATAGTGGAGTAAATGCCTTTCTTTACCAAGCTGAATAAAAATACAATTTGAAAAGAACCATGGAACAATAATTCAGCAACCAGTACAGATCATTTAAAGAAGGTTGTATAACACTTATTTCTTTGGAGTTGTTTTGAAATGATCGTTTTCGAAAATTATATTCATAATGTAACTTTTATTGAGAAAGTATTGCACCGAGTTTACCCTGCAGCAAATAAAGCTTTTATATAAACAATACAATGCACTCCCTAACAGCCACTGATGTTTCGAAGTACATGTAAGAAATTTATAATTTGTATTATTACAAAGCGGCTATATCTTCGTCGTGATCACCATAAGGATTGAACCCAAATGTTATCTCTAAGTCACCAGAATGTAAGAGCTTTAATACTAATATTGTATTTAAAGGCCATCAGCTCCTTGTATGAAGAGTCGATGAAAATGTATATATTCACAGGAAACAGCATACATTTACTTACTGTTTGTACAGCTTCTATCGGTGCAGTTTTTGTTTGCTTTTACTGAGTAAAAAAATAACAAAAATTACTATATAGCTTAAATAATTAGGAATCGCGGGAAAGCAAGACAACTAATACAAAAAAATTGTCAAAATAAAGAAAATAAATATACAACGTTTGTATGGGTTAATAGTATCAGTGTTATGTTCAAGACTGGAACGAGCGGCAAAAAATCTGAGACATTATTATGAAATAAGCGTGTTTCTATATTATTATATTTTGGTCTATGTGCATGTTGTATTCTACTGTTCTTGCTTTTCCTCTGTTCTATATTTTATTTTAACATTCACCATGCATGTTTTTGATAACAGCGTTTTGACTTATACATAACTTGAGTAAAATATTTTCAATTACACTATAGTATTTTTGTAATGCAGGCTATTATGTTCTGCTGTTTTTTATTGCAATGTAATTATCTGAAGATATTAAACATTGTCTGTATTAATATAAAAACAGCAGAACATAACAGCCTGCATTATATGCAATGTAGTAAATTGAAGGAGATATTAAACAGTTGTCTATATTAATATAAAAACAGCAGAACATGCAATGTAGTTATCTGAAGGAGATATTAAACAGTTGTCTATATTAATATAAAAAAACAGCAGAACATGCAATGTAATTATCTGAAGGAGATATTAAACAGTTGTCTATATTAATATAAAAACAGCAGAACATAATAGCCTGCATTATATGCAATG